GTGTGCATTGCAGGTAACATGAATTGCTTTGGGCATTGTTGCATGGAGCACATCAGAGAAAGTGTCACACATCTGCATTGCGTTATCAGAGGGAAATGCTGAGATCTTGCTAAATCCTGAGATGTAGGTTACAACCGCCTTTGCTACAGCTTGTGCTACACTTGAAAAACATACAGGTATGTACATTTTGTACAAAACGGGCAGGTCGTGGTCTTTCCAGCTCTCAGGTACAAATAACAAGTGGAGCGCATAGTTATCCTGTGCATCTGTCCAGTCATAGTCTTTCCAGTTCCCAGGTACAAATAAAATTGGGAGTACATAGTTATCCCATGCATCTGTTGCTTTGTATGCCACAATCAAGACTGATTCATATTCTGCCAAAGCAGATGTTGTAGATTGAACGTGCAAAGCAATTATTCCTGGTTGATAACCCTGGCAAAGTTTGTTTGCATGTGGGAAACTGCCAGCATTTGGGTCGTGCTTGTTGAAGGACTCCTTTAGTTTCGAGTTATTGATTTTTTCAAAGGTATGTTGGCAGCAGTGAATGCCTCCACTAGCTCCAATGCAGCCTCTCTTCTTGTTTCTTTCAGTGGTTGTCTTAAACATTAAGGACATTGCTGCTTGTTTTTTTTGTTCTGACTTCAGCTTCTACAGGAGCCTTTCATTGCAATTCGGACTCTAAATGGCGATCAACACTGGCTTTCCATGACACATCCAGAGTCACGCTGGGGTCACTGTTAGAACTTGCGCAGCGTCCTACAAAAGCGGGGCTGAAAGGGACCTCTGGAGGTCACATCTAGTTCAGCCTCCTGCCCGAGGCAGGATCAGCCCTGTCTAAACCCTCCCAGACAAATCTATTGTTCAAACTCTTAGCAAAACCACAGTCAGCAGCAGACAGACTCTGTTCACAAGGGATGCAGAGGAAGCGACAGGGAAGCAGAGAGTGAGATGCTAATTGCCCAGCCCTTGCTCTATTTTGCATCTGAGGAGCAGCAGCAATGAAAGCAATGACAGGGGAACAAGGGTCCTACCTGTCACCTGGAGCTCCACAGTGCAAGCAGTCAGAGGGGTGTTGGCACCGAGAACCGCGTAGCAGGAGTAATTCCCCGAGTCGCTGGGGGTCACCCCCCTCAGCAGGAGGGAGGTATTGCCCTTCGGGAACTCGGCTGGGAAGAGCTGGGTTCTGCCCTGGTATCTCTCGCCCTGGTGCTCCGGGTGGGTTGTGCCTTTGTAGAAGCTGTGCACGACAGCGCCCGGCTGTTGCCAGTTGATAGTAACGTCCAAAAGGCTGAACCCCCTTGGACGCTGCACGTGGCAGCGCAGGAGCACGTCTGCACCAGCCCGCGCGTGGGTCACAGCAAATCCAGCACCTGCAGGAGAGGAAGGACCGGCATCTCTCGTTCCAGCCTGGGTTGCCTCTTCCTGAAGCCCTGTGCTTTCTGCATAGCACGTGACGGGCTGTGACTCGGGGAGGGGGCACGTGGAGAGCACATGGAGAGCACTGAGGTGGTTCCAGCATCTCCAGGGGTCCCTGTTTGTACCCTGCTTCCCTGGCCCTGCACCCCCAGAGCTGCTTACCCCAACCCCACCTCCAAACCCTTCCACCTATCAATCCCAGCTGGCCAAACCAGAGGGCGATGAATATTGCTAGCACCCCTCTATATCAGAGCCCTGCTCACCTCACCCACGCTATGGAAAAAAACTACCTGCCCTGGTATCTCTCGCCTGGTAAGAATCATCTTACTAACCAGGATAAGATGTTTATTCTGCAGAAAAACCCCTCGCACCCGGAGTTTATTTCTCCCATGGAGCTACAAATCAGTGGCTTCCCCCTACCCGTAACATGGTTAAAAAACAACCCGCTCCTCTTTTATATTGCAGACAAACAGACCCTGCTTTCCAGAACTAAGCAGCATCCAGACGAACCCTCACACGAGTTATCTTGCCCCAACTTGGCTCATAACAAGAAGACCCTGGGGCCCACCGGCTTTTCTGGTCATATCAATGATTGCTAAATCTCAGGCTGTGCTTAATTTGCAGGTCGGCAGAGTAGACAACAAAGAGAAGATGGAGCAGATTTGCCATCTCAGAGCATCTAAAGGCTTTTGAAAGGGGAAATTAAAAGTGACTCGTCGTATTATCATGGTTAATTCTGGCCGAAAGCTTGGTGGAGGCTGTTGTGGGTTCAGGATGTGACTGTCGTGCGGAAGACTACAGAAAGGATGCAGGCAAATTGGAGAGAGTCCAGCGGAGGGCAATGGGAATGGTTTGGGGCTGGGGGACAGGACTGGTGAGGCGAGGCAGAGGGAACTGGGCTGATTTGGTCTGCAGAAGAGAAGACTGAGGAGGGATTGAATAGCAGCCTTCAGCGTGGCTCCAGAAAGCAGGGAGCTGGACTGTTCTCAGTGGGAGCAGATCCCTCGATCGGCTGGCAGCGCTCCTACCAGTGCAGCCCAGGATGCTGGTAGCCTTCTTGGCACCAAGGGCACACTGCTGGCTCCTGTTCAGCTTCTTGTCCCCTGTCACCTCCAGGTCCTTTTCTGCAGAGCTGCTGCCCAGCCCGTCATCCCCCAGAAGTAGGGCTAGAAGGGAGCTCCAGAGGTCACATCTAATCCAGCCCCTTGCCTGAGGCAGGATCATCCCTATCCAAACCATCCTATACAAATCCACTGTCCAGCTTTTGGGGGGAAACTACCATGGACCCTGACACAGCACAGACATCACACCCTGACCTGCCACACGTAAAGCAGGGGAACCACAGTAGCCAACATCCTGATTTTATAATAGGTTGTTAATATACATTCTAGGTACGGGCCATGTTGTGACCGTGTCAAAAGCTCGGGTTTCCTCTGGGCTTCAGCCAATCTTGGACCAAAGAGTCCGACCTCTCTCAAGTGCATGAACCCAAGGAATGGAGACTTCCAAAGCCTTATGCTGCTTATCCTCAAAGGCTAAAGGTGGTGGAAGGAGGCTTGGGATACAGATCACCTAAGGAATAGGACATCTGAGTTTTTCCACCCTTGCCATGGCCTGACTTGAAATTAGATTTGGAACAAGCACATCTGACAGTTTAAGGGCATGTCAGGGAAACTGGGAAATGTCAGCGGTACAAACTGGGTTGTGCTGTATTCTGTGAACTTTGGGAGGACACGGAGGCACCCATCAAACCAGAGTCTCCAGAGCAAAAAGGGAGAAAAGATTTAAAGAAAAAAAAAAGTCATACTGGGACAACACTATGGTCCATCTCTCACCTTGCCTTCTCCTTGACGTCAGACCAACACACTTAACGACCTCTTTCTGATAATGGTGGCAACTACCTCTTTCTGATAATGGCGGCGGCAGCGGTGGAAAGCAGGTCTCCACTGTATAGACTGATAAAATCGGAAACACCTACACGCTCATAAGTACCAGCTCGCGTCATTATATCCTTTTAGGAGGGAGTCCTGCATGCAAAGCAGACCTAGCATAATTCACCCGCCTTTGTGAATGGCTCAAATACGCTACAAGTGCAGCAGAGCAGAAATCCTTTACCAGAAATTCACCGTGGCTGACACGGCTCTCCCAGACACCCAGAAGCATTTCCAGGAAAGACCTGATAATGAAATGAGTTTTGCTTTAGACTGGTGGCTTCCAACCTTTTTTCATTGGCGGACCCTTAAGAAACTTCAAATGGAGGTACAGACCCCTTCGAATTGTAAGGGTGGATGCCCACATACTTTTGATTGATCATAGTTGTGATGCATGGACCATGTGTTGAAAACCATGGCTTTAGACGGTCAACTGTGCGGCTCAGGAGCTTAGGATTCGCACTCAGGCTAACCCTGGGGTGTTTCGCCCCCTCCCCTCCATTTCCACTGCCCCATAAAGCAAATAAAGACAGAAAAGCTCTGGTTAGCTAGAACACACGACAGACTTGCTACTAGCTCACCAGTCAGGGCAGGGAGGCAGGCGAGGACAATCCCAGCCAGCACGGCGCTCACGGGCATTTTCATTTTGGGATCCGAGAGTCACGTCCAACCTGGTAGGGGGCAAAGCTGTGAGGGCAGCACAGCCAGTCACTGACGGCGCTGAGGCTTGGTGCCCATGCTCCCCTGTGGGCGGGGGCCAACCCCCCCCCGTGCCAGTCGCACCATGCAGTCCCGACCAGGACCCGCTGCCCTGTGTCACACGGGGGCAGAGAGAGGGTATAGACACGATGGGGCATTTTCCCACTGCCCCTCGCGCCCCTGCAACCTCCAGCCCTGAACAGCCCCCAGGCAAGGGGACAGGCCTGGCTCATCCACCCCCGTCTGGAGCCCAGGCTCTCCAGCTCTCGGGCCCCGGTTGAGGATCCGGGCGGTGCCATCCTGATCCTCCCCTGCCCCAGCCGCGTGCTCTGAGCCCCCCCGCGCAGCCCCAGGGGCCCGCCCCGCACCCCCCCGCCCCGCTACATCCCTGCTGCAGCCCGGGGCAGCGGGACGGGACCCCCCCGGCTGCGTGCACGGTGCGAGGGCGGAGCCCGCAGCACCCACGGGGCCGCCTGGCACGTGCCCGCGTGGGCTCCAGACCCGCGTGCGCAATTGCCGCTGTCACCCGCAAGTCACTCAAGAACCGCGTCTCCCTTCCCCGACAGCCCTGCTATGGTGCCCGGGGGTGCAAGGTGACACGGGCATTTAGAAAAAAACCAACACGTACCTTTTCGCGTGAAAGAGAAATGGATGGAAATGCAGGGTTAGGGCAGGACAGTGTCACAACCAGCGTGCGCGGCAATTTACGGGCCGGGGCATCAAGACGCCCCCGCTTTGCTGAAGCCGGACTTATTTAACCATTGAACGCAAGCAGCAGAAATAAAGCAAAGACCCAGAAAACCGCCCCACCAAAACGGATTTCGAATAGACCAAGGAGCAGCTCTCATTACGCTAGGGAGGAGAGGAGTTTAAAGACTGAGCTAAGTGAACCCTTTAGCCATTCCCTTACTAGGGGAGAGATCTGATCCCCAGGAACGGTATAGAAGTCACCCAAAAAGTGAACAAAAGAGGTGTTTTTGTCTGCCAAGCACAGTTCATGGCAGCTACCGACGTGTTCATTGTGGTGATGACTAACGGCTTCACCTCCTGAGATAAACAAGACTTATTTGCACTGTTTCCTGTCCCAGCTTGTGCAAAGATCACCGTTTAATTCTGCCTGTGTGGCCAGTGCTAGGCACCCAGGGAGCTGGTATCACACTGCGCCGGCGGCTGGCACATCTGGCCCGAGCCGGGGTCTCAGCTACAGCCTCCCCTACCAGTGTCTTCCTTCCTTTTTTTGTGTGTGAGGAAATGATATACTAAAGGATGATTACAGTACTAAAAACAAGATACAGCTCATTTCTGTGCTATTTACAAAGGGATATCTTTCTTTTTAGAACAAATAAGATCACCACAAAAATACCTATACAGAAACACCTAATTTTTCAAACAGATGATCTACAAGAACTCTAAGTTAGTGAAAACATTAAGACATTTGAAAGTAAGAGTGAGCTCTGCATGCAAAGATAGGATATTCTGGACACTGAGATCCAAGAGTGTCATTTCATTGCAGGCTGCGATCAGCAGCGCATTTTAAGCACTTGTAAAACACTGCAGCCTCGCTATTAAGTTAGGATCTCAAAAGGAGATCATGGATTTTCTTTAACAATTATTAGCAACTTACATAGTTTATACTATACATATATACAGTAAAAAGGATAAAGTATACTTTATATACTATATATATATAAAGTACATAATATACTTTATATATATACTGTATATATATAATATATATATTATACTTTATATATATACTGTATATAAGTATACAGTAAAAAGGATATGCATATATATACATATATGTATACATACATACATAATACTATGCATGTATGTATGTAAAGGAACATATGTATGGATGTACAGTTTTACTTACATAGCTTTGCATACATAGATACATACATATATTGGTTTACATACATACATACATACATACATAGGTTTACATCCATACATACATGCATAGCTTTGCATACATACATTGCTTTACATACATACATACACATGTTGCTTTACATACATATATATGCATAGCTTTACATACATACATTCTTTACATACATACATACACACACACAGTTTTACTTACATACTTAGCTTTGCATACATACATCCATAGCTGTATACATGCATAGCTTTGCATAAATACATAATATGTTGCTTTACACACACACACACATACATAGTTTTGCATACATACAGACATACATGCAAAGCTTTATGTACATACATACATGCATAGCTTTGCATAGCTATGCAAAACGTTGGTTTACATGTATGTACGCTAAGCTATGTATGTGTGTATGTAAAACAATGTATTGTGTAAACCAACATAAGTATGTATGTATGCAAAGCTATGCATGTACGTATGTATGCATACATTGCGTTACATACACACATACATAGCTTTGCAGATGTACATACATACATACATTGCTTTACATACATACATACATATTTACATATATGCATACGTATGTTGGTTTACATACATACATACACACATATGTATAGTCCATACATACATGCATAGCTTTCCATACACACATTACTTTACATACATACATGCATGTTGCTTTACATACATACATACATTGTTCCTTTACATACATAATTTTACTTACACACATAGCTTTGCATACGTACATGCTTACATACATTACTTTATATACATACATATCTACACACATACATACATACGTATGTTGGTTTACATACATACATAGCTTTAAGTCCACACACACATGCATAGCTTTGCATATATACATTGCTTTACATACAAACACACATTGCTTTACATACATACATAGCTTTGCATACATACATGCATAGCTTTACATACATACATACATACATTCATTCATTTACATACATACATACATACATACATACATACATACATTGTTTTACTTACATACATAGGTTTCCATACATATATACAAACATACGGACACACACATATACATATGTATGCTAGATGACATACATACATAATACATACATACATACATAGAGACATAGCTTTACATATGTACATATCTACACACATACATACATAGTTTTACATACATAGCTTTGCATACATACATACATACACACATACTTACCTACACACATTCATACATGCGTATGTTGGTTTACATAACATATGCATATAGACATAGCTTTACAAACGTACATGCATACATACATTGCTTTATATACATACATATCTACACACATACGTACATACATACATAGCTTTAAGTCCATACATACATGCATAGCTTTGCATACATACATTGCTTTACATACAAACACACATTACTTTGCATACATACATACATAGCTTTGCATACCTACTTACGTACGTACGTATGTTGGTTTACATACATACATAGAGATATAGTTTTGCATACGTACATATCTACACACACACGTACATAGTTTTACTTACCTAAATAGCTTTCCATACATACATACATGCATACCTACACACACACATACATACATACATACGTATGTTGGTTTACATACATACATACAGATAAACATAGCTTTACAAACGTACATGCATACATACATTGCTTTATATACATACATATCTACACATACACATACATACATACATAGCTTTAAGTCCATACATACATGCAACATACATACATACATACATACATGGCTTTAAGACCACACATACATGCATAACTTTGCATACATACATTGCTTTACATACAAACACACATTGCTTTGTATACATATATAGCTTTGCATACATACATACATTGTTTTGCATACATACATGCATAGCTTTACATACATACATACATACATTCCTTTACATACATACATACATAGTTTTACTTAATGCTTAGATTTGCATACATACATACATATGTTGGTTTACACACATACATACATAGCTTTACATACATACATACATATGTTCCTTTTCACACATACATACATACATAGTTTTACTTACATAGCTTTGCATACATAGATACAGACACACATTGGTTTACATACATACATACATACATAGCTTTGCATACATACATTGCTCTACATACAAACACACATTGCTTTACTTACATACATACATACATATGTTGCTTTACATACATATATACATACATAGCTTTACATAATTCCTTTACATGCATACATACATACACACAGTTTTACTTACATACATAGCTTTGCATACATACATCCATAGCTATGTGTACATACGTGCATAGCTTTGCATACATACAAGCAAATGTTGCTTTACACACACACACACATACATAGCTTTGCATACATACATACATACATGCAAAGGTTTACGTACATACATACTTGCATAGCTTTGCATAGCTATGCTTACATACATACTTACATTGGTTTACATGTATGTATGTATGCAAAGCTATGTATGTGTGTATGTAAAGCAAAGTATGTATGTAAACCAACGTATGCATGTATGTATGTATGTTTGCAAAGCTATGCATGTACGTATGTACACATACATTGCATTACATACACGCATACATAGCTTTGCAGATGTACATACATACATACATTGCTTTACATACATACATATCTACACATGTGCTTACATACATATGTTGGTTTATATACATACATACATATTTTCCTTTACATACATACATGCATAGTTTTACTTACATACATAGCTTTGCATACATACATACTTACATACACACATACATACATATGTATAGTCCATACATATATGCCTATCTTTGCTTACATACATTGCTTTGCATACATACATATATAGCTTTGCATAGCTTTGCATACATACATACATACATACATAGCTTTGCATACATACATAGTTTTACTTACATATGTCATAT